GTGTATTTGTCCATTTTTTTGCAACATGTGAATAAAAAATATCATATTATCTATTTTTTTAAATATTGTAATATATTTTGTCTATATATTATAAAATAAATAGCCAAATATACTAAGTTCAGTGCATCTTATGGACGAAGAATTTATTCAACTAGAAGGTTTATCGAACCTATGCTACTGGGATTTAGTTGTTTGCTTTATGAAATATCTTTGCAGAATTGCTTGTATGTATATATAATGTATTGTCTTATTAATTGAGTCGTTAGTGCGAGCTTCTGTCTCATGCTAGGCTCTCGTTTCAATGAACCCTTTATTACTTCTAATATAGGTCTACATCACTCATATTCAATTTTTTTGTTATATTATTTTTTCCCTGCTCTCACAACTGAACGTGGATCCTATCTAATAAAAAAGACAATTAATGCCTATACACGACAATCATAACTGCAAAATAATGCATCGTTGGCAGTGGTCCAAGCTTCGCTTAATCGCTTTAAATAATAACATATTGTCCAGATATATAAATGGTAAATACTTTCCCATAAATGATTCGTACATCTCATTCACAGCAAACTATTACAAATTTGATTAGATTTTAAGTAACGTGTACTCTAAGCATTTCAATACGTAGTTGGTGACTCTACATCAAAACTTATTTTGTTTTTTACATATATAAAAGTATAGGGTTTATTGTTGTCATGTTGTATGAGAAAATAAATTCTTCTTACACATAATATAAAAAGATATATCACTCTTTTTCTTATTTTTTATTTTTTTTTAAGTAAGTGAGTCTCACACTTGATATATATATATATATATATATATATATATATATATATATATATATATATAAAAGAAAAAATATGTTCTCTTTTAAAAGATACAAACTTAAATTCTTTTAAAAAAGATAGACATAAAGAGGCGTGAGTCATATTAATTAAATTACAAATGATAACAGTTGATTTTCATCCATTAACAAGTGAGATGAGGAGTAAGACTTCTAAATCTTACTCTAGAATCAAAAGAATCATCTTTTATATATATATATATATATATATATATATATATATATATATATAGTAAACATTTCTACAGCCACTTTAGATAAGATTATCTACAACCACCATTTTTAACTATGTTCTCCCGAGAGAACATAGTTATAGCACGAAAGTTGCTTTTTTTTTTCTCTCTTCTCATTTACTTTTCAAAACTTGTCTGCTGACGTGGAGAGAGAAAAAAAATAACTTTCGTGTTATAACTATGTTCTTAAAAATGGTGGCTGTAGAAATACTTTTCCTTATATATATATATATATATATATATATATATATATATGGTAAACATTTCTACATCCACTTTAGATAAGATTATCTACGACCACCATTTTTAACTATGTTCTCCCGAGAGAACATAGTTATGACACGAAAGTTGCTTTTTTTTTTCTCTCTTCTCATTTACTTTTCAAAACCTGTCTGCTGACGTGGAGAGAGAAAAAAAAAACTTTCGTGTTATAACTATATTCTTAAAAATGGTGGCTGTAGATAAGTTTATCTAAAGTGACTGTAGAAATACTTTTTCTTATATATATATATATATATATATATATATATATATATATATATAAATATAATTTCTCTCAACATATATGTCATTTCCTATTTAGACCAAATTCAAGAGTGTATGATCATGTACAACTCCTAATCACATTACATCCAAAAAAGAAAAATCATAATAAATGAAGATCTTCATAGGAAAAAAAATCAATTTTGAGACTTTTGACTTAGAAAAAGTATATTACTCATGATTAGGGATCGTAAACGAACAAGAGATCATTCAGGGGTTTTTGACTCGGCTCGTGAAGGCCTGAACAAATATGTCTAAAATTAGTTATTGGAACCAGTTTTAGACTTGTATAAAAGCTCGTTTAATAAAAAGTTCTCAAGTTTCAATTCGAAAGCTCAGCCTTAAAGCCTCTTAGGCTGGCCTAATATATTAATTTTTATTTTTTTATATTTTTTATATTACTAGTAATAGCTCTTCATCTCTCCTCAATCCATTTTATCAATTTTATTAGTTAAACAGACTTTTTGACTAATTTTGTTCTATATTATACTGCTTGGATATTCTTGAATTTATAAATATTTATGAAATTACTAGTGTTGTTGATTGTATATTCTGTTTGGATAATTTTTTGTTGTTTTATTTTTTTAAATAGTATATTAGACTAAACCATACTTTGATTTTTTTGTATATTCTGTCGATAATTATATTCATAACATATAACATACTTGATCAGATTCACATATTTAAATACAAATTTAATTTTTTAAGAGTGAAGCTCGGCTGAACCAGTTAATACCGTGATGCACATTTAGATTCTAATTCTAGCGTTTCGATAATCGTTAAATAAGGCCCGTTTTCTGACGAGGAGATCCCCTTCTGATGAGACGGGAAACATGGGTCAAAAAATTATCCTCTATCACAAACCGTCATTTTTGCTTATTCATCAAGAATCTGGCAAAAAGATCCCCTTTGGCACATGATATGTAGGTCAAATTATATGTACAACTAATCACTATAGCCTCACTGCAAAAGGGAGTTTTTTGTTCATATATAGTAAGAAAGGGGAATATCCTCAAAAGGTACGCCGCTTGTTATTGTCACGTTATTAATATATTAATACTGCAAACGTATCCAATCTAACTAATAAGATTAATAGATAATGAATGCTAAGCGAATACAGGCTGTGGGAGCAGGTGAGTTGACATTAAACTAAAAACAAATCAATTTTTTATTTTTTTTTGGGAGACAGTTAACAAAAGAATGCCGACACACAAAGATGGATTTAGTATGATTTTTGGCACATAAAAAGTTTAAGATGAGGTGTGCTGCCTCACTCCGTACGATTGAGCTAAATTGATTCTCTTATTCTATGAATAAGATAAGGGAAATATTTTTCTCTTTTAACAAGAGGATAAAAGAGTTATTTTCTACTGAGATAAAAAAGTGAGATCAATAATTTAAAAAAAAATAAAAACAAAAATAAAAATTTAGCACAAAAGTTGATGTATGTGTAGGAACAAAATCTTATCTTATGTGAAAGGAGAAAAATATTTGATAAACTATTAACTTCAACGAGAATTGATAAAAAAAAATTTAAAAATTGTCACTGTTAAAGCTTTTTAACGAAATTAATTCCGATTATTCAACTTAAGAAAACCACATTCCATCTACCTCAATGAAAGTGACTCTCTCCATATTTTCTAATTTTGTGCAGAAAATTTTTGCCTGTCACGTACATATTTTTATCAGGATTTGCCGAGGATTTTGGTGAATTGCCAAGAAAAATTGAATATATATATATATATATATATATATATATATGGTTTATCATTTCTCAAACTGTTTGAGATAATTTTATCTCTGACTACTAAATCATAATCGTACAAAGATAGATCAATGGTGATAAAGGAAGAGAGAGAAAAAGAAAATCATAACCATTCAAAGGTGAATCAATTAATATGAGAAAATAAATAAATAAAACGACGTAGTTTTGGGTTCAATGTAGAAAACTTATCTATATTAACTATCGAACAAAATAGGAACCCATATATATATGGCTTCGCTTTTACTATAGTCAATGTAGATAATTTATCTACAGTGAGCCTAAAACGACGTCGTTTTGAGGCGGAAATCATGGTATTTTTGTAATTATAATTTATTTTAGGGTTATAATAGTTTTTTCATTATATTTTTTTAATTTTTTAACCCAAAACAACATCATTTTGGAAGCGAATATAGATAACTTATCTACATTCCCTTTAGAAACATTAAAGCCTATATATATATATATATATATATATATATATATATATATATATATATATATATATATATATATATATATATATGATCTTTTGATACCAGTGTCAAATTCTAAAATTTGACACCAAATTATAACCGTTGATTTTCGCCAATAACAGTTATCATTTATTGGGAATCAAACTTATTAATTAATTATTAATTCCCAATAAATGATAATCGTTGATTGACGAAAATCAATTGTTAGAATTTGGTGTCAAATTTCAAAGTTTGACACCAGTAAAATTTGACAGATGAGAGCCGTTAGATCAAAAAAGATTAACAACTCTGATTTGTAAGCATGTGACACCATAGATCTTTTTTTATCTAATGGTTTAAATTTGACACTGGTGTTAAAGAATCTTACCTTTCTCTCTCTCTCACTATATATATATATATAGATAGAGGTAGGATCCTTTGACACCGGTGTCAAATTTTAATTTTGACACCTCATATGAGAGCCGTTAGATAAAAAAAGATCAACGACACTGATTTGCAAGCATGTGACACCATTGATCTTTTTTGATCTAACGGCTCTCAGATGAAGTGTCAAAATTAAAATTTGACATTGGTGTCAAAGGATCCTACCTCATATATGGATAGGATCAACTTACACCGGTGTAAGAATAATAAATCTTACACCAAATATTAACCGTTGATTTCCGTGCATCAAATGGTTGAGATTTATTGGGAATTAAAAATTAATTAATGAGTGAGACCTAATAAATCTTAACCGTTAGATGTAGAAAATCAATGGTTAAGATTTGGTGTAAGATTTATTATTCTTACACCGGTATAAGATGATCATGCCCCCATATATATATATATATATATATAGCCTTATAATCAATTTCAATAGTTGATAACAACTCTAGTATAAATGAAGTTGAGTGATGATGCCCCCTTATATATATACATATATTTTCTATGATTACACCGAATTTCCACCACATTCTCCTCCTTCTTCCTACAAACTTAGTGGCCTGAAGCACTTCACAAAGGAACTGAGGCAGTAGTATTTGTCTGAAAAAAAAAAAAAAAAAAAACCTCCAAGTATGTGTGGTGAGTGATTTGAGCTAAAGGCAAATTGCATGTTATGTACGTAACTTGCTATTACATTCATCTTAAGTATTGGTGACATGGCATCAGCATTGGCCGGGGATGATTTGGCCATATCAACAAGCGGTCGCCGGAGCTCGTTCTCGGCGAGTTTCGCAGAAGTGTGGACGGCGACGCCGGACGTGTTCGACAGGAGTGATCGGCACACACAGGAGGATGATGAGCAGGACCTTATATGGGTTGCCATAGAGCGCTTGCCAACTTTTGAGCGCATGAAAAAAGGGGTGCTAAAGCACGTGCTTGACAATGGAAAAGTTGTGCATGATGAAGTTGATGTTACCAATCTTGGTTTACATGACAAGAAGCTGCTAATGGAGAGTGTACTAAAGATTGTTGAGGAAGACAATGAGAAATTCCTACTCAGACTTAGAGAAAGAGTGGATAGGTGTTTATCTATCATATCACTTTGTTATCATTATTATTAATTGGTCAATGTTATTTATTGCATTTGTTAAAATTAAAATACAGGGTGGGGATTGAAATCCCGAAAATTGAAGTCCGATATGAGAATTTATGTGTGGATGGAGATGCGTATGTTGGGAGCAGAGCGCTTCCTACCCTTCTTAATGCTACTCTCAACACTTTTGAGGTACTTGTTTTGTTTGTTTCTCTCTGAACTCTAAACCAGCCTTCACTCTATATATGTATGATTTTTAGTTAAATTTGAAAGTACTACTACTAATGCTTTATCTGATTCATTTGTTTCCACGGCAGAGTATTATGGGATTGTTTCACCTTGCACCGTCCAAGAAGAGAGAAATTCAGATTCTTAAAGATGTTAGTGGAATGGTGAAACCATCAAGGTGGATTATAAAAAATCTCAATATTATTAGCAGTTTCAAAGATGGATGAATCTTGTTTGTTCTGTACTTACATTGATACATTCTTTCATGTGTAGTAGATAGACTTAATTGACTACCAATTTTACTCAATCATTTTATAATTAATTTTATGGCATTTAAAGCCGATACTTACTTTATTTGTTGTGTTAATCTCAGGATGACTCTCCTACTGGGTCCTCCAGGTGCTGGGAAAACAACATTGCTTCTGGCACTTGCAGGAAAACTTGACCGTGATTTAAGGGTTCGTTCCTATTTCTTTCTATATATATATATTTTTTTCTGTTTTCAATTAGTTTACTTAAATAATATATCCTTATCATCTGTATGTGTAATTTGTTTTTACAACGAAATGGGCTTTATGTTGAGATTTGACCAGGCCTCTGGGAGAATCACTTACTGTGGCCATGAGCTAAATGAATTCGTTGCTCGAAAAACCTGTGCTTATATTAGTCAAGACGACATTCACCATGGAGAAATGACAGTGAGAGAGACATTAGATTTTTCAGGACGTTGTCTGGGCGTTGGCACTAGGTATGAAATGTTGGTGGAACTTTCAAGAAGGGAGAGAGAAACAGGAATTAAGCCAGACCCTGAGATTGATGCATTCATGAAGGCTGTAGCATTGTCTGGCCAAAAAACCAGTTTGGTAACAGATTATGTTCTCACGGTTTGTGCCACTGTTGTATATACTTCAAGTTATTAGTATTACCTCTATGCTTCTATTTTTTTCCCACTTATTGTATAAGCTGACTTTTATTATATTCTCACAGATACTTGGGCTGGATATTTGTGCTGACACTATGGTTGGTGATAACATGAGAAGGGGTATCTCTGGTGGACAGAAGAAGCGAGTAACAACAGGTTGATTTCTTCTTTGTTAGATGCTTAACCTACAAACTCAAGTTATTAAATAAGTAATCTCACACGTCTGATAATTAGTTTAACTCTTTACGTTATATGCTAGAGATTCAATTTCCTTGTAAGCACAAAATTTTCAAATAATAATAATGAAGTACTAGGTATCAGAAATGCAATTTGTGTTGTTCTTCTTATAATGGCCTAGAATCTTTCCAATTAATGGCATGTATATAAAAGCATTTGTAATTATCTATTAATCTGTACTAACTGCTTCAGTTGTAACTTGGTGTAGGGGAGATGCTGGTAGGACCGGCAAAGGCACTGTTTATGGATGAAATATCAACAGGATTGGACAGTTCCACCACATTTCAAATATGCAAGTTCATGAGGCAAATGGTTCATATCATCGATGTGACCATGGTGATTTCTCTTCTACAGCCAGCACCAGAGACCTTTGAACTCTTTGACGACATTATCCTACTTTCAGAAGGACAAATTGTATACCAAGGACCACGTGAGAATGTGCTAGAGTTCTTTAAATACATGGGTTTCACATGTCCTGAGAGAAAAGGAGTTGCTGATTTTTTACAAGAAGTAACATCCAAGAAAGACCAGCAACAATATTGGTTCAAAAATGAACCTTACAGATATGTTTCAGTTCCAGACTTTGTACAGGCCTTCAGTTCGTTTAACATAGGAGAGAAACTTGCAAATGAGATTGGGGTTCCCTATGACAAGAGCCGAACCCACCCAACTGCCTTAGTGAAAGACAAGTATGGTATATCAAACTGGGAACTATTTAAGGCATGCTTTTCAAGAGAATGGCTGCTTATGAAGCGTAGTTCTTTTGTTTATATATTCAAGACAACACAGATAACAATCATGTCTATCATTACCTTTACTGTGTTCCTTAGAACAGAAATGCCAGTGGGCACTGTTAAAGACGGGCAAAAATTCTTTGGAGCACTATTCTTTTCTCTAGTAAATGTGATGTTTAATGGGATGGCAGAACTATCCATGACTGTTATGAGGCTTCCCGTATTCTACAAACAAAGGGATTTTATGTTCTACCCTGCATGGGCATTTGGGTTACCTATATGGGTTCTCAGGATCCCTCTCTCTCTTATGGAATCAGGGATATGGATTGTCCTTACGTACTATACAATTGGGTTTGCTCCTTCTGCTAGCAGGTAATATGAGTTTACTTTTTTCAAATATAATGGCCTTAATTTTATTGCTCAGCTTGGCACTTGAAAGCAGGGTAAATCAGTTTTCGAAATTTTTATAGCTTTAATAGTTTTTATATGAATTAGAATGATAACAATTTATTAATTCACATTTGTCTCTCTATTTCATCAGATTTTTCAGACAATTCTTGGCGTTATTTGGCATTCATCAGATGGCTCTCTCTCTCTTTCGGTTCATTGCCGCAGCTGGTAGAACACTAGTTGTTGCTAACACAATGGGTACCTTGACTTTGCAACTGGTATTTGTGCTAGGAGGTTTTATTATTGCCAAAGGTAAGTCCTTGATCACTTCTTAATTTTGGATTGATCATGTAGTTTAAGGAAGCATTAATAAGATTAACTATGTTATTTTTTCACTTACTCTTCTTTTAAATTCGTATTCTATAGTTCGAAACAAATACTTATTCCAGTTTATTTTCTTTTGTGCTTGTAGACGACATTGAGCCGTGGATGATATGGGGCTATTATATATCTCCCATGATGTATGGTCAGAATGCCATAGTAATGAACGAATTCTTAGATAAAAGATGGAGTGAAGTAAGATATCAATTTTCTCTTTTTGTTTCTCACTGCCTGTCTTACCTACTTGCAAACAGCAAAGACAAATTTGTGTCTAGGTATAGTTACATTTATTGTATAAACTTTTTAGTATAATTAAATATCATTTTTATGTGTTGCAGCCAAATACAGACAATAGAACTGATGCACCTACAGTTGGAAAAGTACTTCTCAAATCTAGAGGCTTTTATACAGAAGAGTATTGGTTTTGGATCTGTATTCGAGCTTTGCTTGGGTTTTCTCTTCTCTTCAACCTTCTATTCATTTTTGCATTGACTTATCTGAATCGTAAGTTATACCCTTTGGATTTTTGAAATAAATACTGAATGAACTTTTCACCGTTGGTAAACCCTTATAATGTCAAACAAAAATTTCAGCTTTTGGTGATTCTAAAGCTGTCACTGCGGACGAAGGTGACAAGAAGAATAAAAATTCATCCTCTGGACAGCATGTCCTTGAAGGTTTTTATATCTATCTATTTTCCCCTTATTTGTTGGTAATTCCAAGTGTACATCATTGTTATTTAGAGAAATGATGGTTATAAGTAATCAACAGCATTAAAATTCAGAAACATGTTTTTGAGTAATTTATTGAATAGATTTAAGTGTTTTAATGCAGATTCATTTCTTCATTTTGCTGCAACAAATTTAGAAAACTTTAGTTGCACATAGTTCTAATGCAATTCAATGACACCATTTCATTTAACGCTGCTAATCCTTATTGATAAAGAACAGGTACAGAAATGGAAGTAAAAAATTCTTCAGAAATTGCTAGTTCTTCGAACCAAGAACCGGGAACAGGAATGGTTCTACCGTTTCAACCTCTCTCACTCGCATTCAGTCATATTAGCTACTATGTAGATATGCCTGCAGTAAGTCACTCAATTCTAAAAATTGCATTCTTTCTTGAAAGCATAATATATAATTTACTGTTCTTCTCTTCGATCATGTAAATATGTTCTTATAAAATTCAATGTCTTTATATGTTTTATCAAAATTGTTGAGTTTTCACTGAAAAAGTTGAACTTTAGGAATCCAGTGAAATTTGTTGGGAGCTATTATTGTTCTTCGTAGTAAAGCTTTTGATTTTGTTAATGACTTCTATCAAATCAGGAAATGAGGAGTCAAGGAATCAATAAGGATAGACTTCAACTACTACAGGATGTAAGTGGTGCTTTCAGACCAGGCATATTGACAGCACTCGTGGGTGTTAGTGGTGCTGGAAAGACAACCCTCATGGATGTATTAGCTGGAAGAAAAACTGGTGGTTACATTGAAGGAAGTATTAGCATCGCAGGTTACCCAAAGAACCAAGCAACATTTGCACGAGTCAGCGGTTATTGTGAACAGAATGACATTCATTCTCCACATGTTACTGTCTACGAATCACTCTTATTCTCAGCGTGGCTTCGTCTTGCTTCAGATGTAAAGATACAGACACGAAAGGTGTGTTGGAACAAGCTTTGTCTTCTTGGCCATTAACAATTAACTATGTTTTTAATGCAACCCTTTCTCAATAGAATTTTGATTTAGTTATATTTATATTGATGATGCAGATGTTTGTTGAAGAAGTTATGGAATTGGTTGAGCTTAAACAAATCAGAGATGCTCTGGTGGGGCTTCCAGGCGTGGATGGTCTATCAACAGAACAAAGGAAAAGGCTTACTATTGCTGTAGAGTTGGTTGCAAACCCTTCAATTATCTTCATGGATGAACCTACATCTGGCCTTGATGCTAGAGCTGCTGCTATTGTTATGCGAACAGTGAGAAACACAGTAGACACGGGGAGAACCGTTGTGTGCACAATTCACCAACCAAGCATAGACATATTCGAAGCTTTTGATGAGGTAATTCAATGCCCCGTAGCTGTTGAGTTTTTGTGTTATTCCTTTGGTTGATTATTGTGAATCTTCAATTTCGATTACTTTGTTAATGTAGCTATTGTTGATGAAAAGAGGAGGGCAGGTCATCTATGCCGGACCTCTTGGTCGCCGCTCACATAAGCTCGTAGAATATTTTGAAGTGAGTATTGAAGCTTTTCTATGTCTATCGTCTTTGAAGTCTGTCTTTGAAGTCTTTAGACCTTAGCTCCATACTTTGAGCACCGTGGTGTGCTTATAACTTTAGCGACAAAAGTTTCATATATATGTAATGTACATGTACTTAATTCAGGCTATCCCTGGGGTTCCAAAAATCAAGGATGGTTATAATCCCGCCACATGGATGCTTGATATCAGCTCTACTTCAATTGAGGCTCAAGTCAATGTAGATTTTGCAGAGATTTATGCTAATTCTACCCTTTATCAGTAAGTTTCTTCATGTTGTAGTTATGTTAATTATTAGCGTGCTTGTAACTTATATGAAACAAGAATTCTAGCTTTATAACTGTTGTTTTCTCTGTGCTTTCTTCAGGAAGAATCAAGAACTTATCGAGGAGCTCAGTACTCCAGCACCACATTCAGAGGACTTGTACTTCCCAAGCAAATACTCCCAATCGTTTTTTGTTCAGTGCAAAGCTAACTTCTGGAAACAATTTTGGTCCTATTGGAGAAATCCTCAGTATAATGCCGTCCGGTTCCTCATGACAATATTTATCGGAGTATTGTTTGGTATAATTTTCTGGAACAAAGCCAAAAAGACGTAAGTCATTAACATTTTACCTATTCATTAATCTTGTCTATAATATTTAAGACACAGAAGGCTTTGCGTACCTCTATCTCGTGTTTGGTATTCTACTAAGTCATAGCCTTTCACATTAAAATTTGCATTTCAAGTGAAATTTAACTTAGGATGTTTACTTAACAAATTTTGTTGGCAGCCACAAGCAACAAGACTTAATGAATCTTTTGGGAGCCATGTATGCTGCTGTGCTTTTTCTTGGAGCCATGAACGCTTCATCGGTGCAATCAGTCGTTGCCATTGAAAGAACTGTCTTCTATCGTGAAAGAGCAGCAGGGATGTATTCTGCATTGCCCTATGCATTTGGCCAGGTGTAAAAGCAAAGAAAGAGTGATTTATGGATTCAACAAAAACTAATGAATTCAATTGTGTTTAATTTATTGAAATAAGTTCATGCTGCTTTTGAAATGACAAATCTTTGTTAGAAAAGTTTCATGGATAAAGGTCTTTTCCCAATGGAAAAGAAAGAAAAAATATTCAGACTAAAAGTACCTCATTGATTGTTTGTGCAGGTGGCTGTAGAGGCAATTTATAATGCAATTCAAACAGCTATTTACACTATAATCCTTTACTCCATGATTGGGTTTGATTGGAAGGCAGCGAACTTCTTTTGGTTCTACTATTATATTCTGATGTGTTTTATCTACTTCACTCTGTATGGGATGATGCTTGTTGCACTAACACCGGGTGACCATTTTGCTGCCATTTGTATGTCCTTCTTCTTGAGTTTCTGGAATTTGTTCTCTGGATTTATCATTCCTAGAACGGTAAGCAATCTGCCATTTTGATGTGTATTTCATAATTTGTTTCTTGAAATGAGACACTTTCTTATGCATATCAAAACTTGTATTTCTCTTAATTGTTACAGCAAATCCCTATATGGTGGAGATGGTACTATTGGGCTTCTCCTGTTGCTTGGACACTATATGGCCTTATTACCTCACAACTGGGTGACAAAAGTGGACAAGTGGAGATACCAGGAGCTGAAAGCATGGAATTGAAGGAATTCCTTGAACAAAGTTTTGGTTATGACTATGACTTCCTTCCAGCAGTTGCTGCTGCTCATGTAGGCTGGGTTCTCCTCTTCTTGTTTGTGTTTGCCTATGGCATCAAATTCATAAACTTCCAAAGAAGATAGCTTGAGATAAAACCCTATCTGTTTTAGGATTACTTGTACGACTTTTTTGTTTTTTCCTTTTGTTAATGCTATAGGAGTTTGTTTGCTGAATATAATGTCATTGTCCGAAGCTCTCCTCCACTAGACACCAGCTCTATCGAAGCCCATTTCTTAGGGCCCAACCTGTGGAAGCTCATTTCCCAACGCCATCGTCAAGCCCTCTCCAAGCAATATTTTATTTTATTTTTGTTAAAAACTAGTTTGGGGTCCAGTAATCAATTTATAATAGTGGGAATGCTAACCAGTTTATACGAGCCAGTTACTCATATTAGAGGAAGCCCATACTCCATACCTTGGGCCACCGAAGGTTTCGTAAAATAGTAATTAGATGATATTGTCTGATGCTTGACGTAGTTTCCAGTATACTTTTTTTTTTTTTTAGTAAGAAAAAGTTTCCAGTATACTTTGATGATATTGACAAATATAAAAGTCACCAATCATTGCAAGAAGAAAGGAAAAAATAAATTAATTAAGAACAAGAGCATATCCTCCTAATCTGAGTATTTTGGGGAAATTTTTTTTGAAAAATTCTATTTTTAATAAGAAAAATATGAAATTAATATGATTAGTCAACTATTTACAAAAATAATACAACCAGTTATGCGTCCAAAAGGTCACAATAGGGCATCAACTATCCACCCAAAAATTCTAGTTGCGTCATATAAATACATCTCCCCTTTACTTTCCCTCATTAATTTCACCATCTCTCTAACTTCTCTCTTGAATTTTCTTTGACTTTTTTTCTAAAATTCTCTTTGACTTCTCTCTAAGCCTTTTGTTTAATTTCTTAGAGCTCTGTCTTTCAAGTAAGTCTTAAATTTTTTTATTTTTTTTTATGTTTTTAAGTTATATAACAGGGGCGGATCGAAGGAAGAGGCTAGCATTGGCACTTGGTAGGACATGGGTATTAACTTAGAATGTGCTTAGTGATTTTGGACATGTCAAGTGACTTAGAACATGATTAGTGACTTGTAATATGCTTAGTACATGTTTAGTGACTTATGCAACAAGTGGATTGGACGGTATGGATTGCACCAAGTGACAGGTTCTTGTAGTGAGTTTGGACACGGCTACCTACTTAGAACATGATTAATGACTTATGCGCCAATTGGCAACATCTAAGAGGGTGTTTGGTTAGAGGAAAATATGGAGATAGATGGGTAAGTGAGAAGTGAGAATATGACAAAACCATGTTTGGTAGCAAATGTGAGAAAATTTCCTCACAATTGTCATTTGCATAGCAATCCATTTTCAGTGTAAAATGAGAACAAAAATTCAACCCAAAAATACCACCTAGATATAAGTATTCTAACTTTGCTGGGGAAATGAAAAGCTAATGTCGAAAACTTTGACAAAAATAACCCTATTAAGTATGTCTTGGATCATTCAGTGGTGAAAAATGGATAGGTAAGGAGGCTGAAAAAAAGCAAATAGTATCAGTTGTATTCAAATTAAAAAATAATCTGTACCAATCTCCAAATTTTTTTTTATAAATATCCAAAAAAAATAATCTGTACCAAAAAAAATAGGGATATTTTCGTAATTGTCACTTATTTTCCCATCTATATTTTATCTCAAACCAAACATAGATTTTATAAATCTTACCTAATTTGCCCAGTAAATTTTTTTCCAACCAAACAACCTTTTTTACATTTTTCTACCAAACTCACTTTCCAACCATTTCCCTAACAATTACATTTCTTTAGTATTCAAAAAATTTCTCTTCAACCAAACGCCTCTGAGTAGCACACTTTTTTAAGCCACGCACTGGGAAAGAAGAGCACAAAAAAGAGAAGAGGCATTAAGTTACGCCTTTTTTTTTTTTGAGCAACTAGTTGCACCAAAATGATGTGCAATTATTGTATTACTTTTGTAAATAGTTGGCCAACATCATTAATTTCGTATTTTCTTATTAACACTGCAATTTTTAAAATTTTGTTTTGTTACCTTAAAAAAAATAATATATATATATATATATATATATATATATATATATATATATATTCTTTTGGATCCTCAACAAAATATACAGAATTCATTTTAATTCCTTAGAAAAAAAAGTACTCATATTAGTCCTTTTTAAGGGACTAAAGTGAGCCTTCTTTGAATTTCAGAGGAACCACAATTTCAAAGAATCAAAATTTTTGAGGGATCACAATTCAACTTTTTTTTTCTGATGGATTAAAATGGGTTCAATATTTTTTGTTATGACCCAAAAGAGTATTTACTGGAAAAAAAAATTGGTTCAAAGAACTCGAAACAGTACCTGCCTGTAGGGGTGAAAGTGGGCTGGGCCAAGCTTTGTCCCGAAAAGTCCAAGCCTAGTCAAAATTTTTCAATTTTGCGTGATTCAAGCCTAATACGGGTCTAACTGTTAGCCTGACTTGGCCCGTTTATAAAAAAAACAAATGGTCTGGCCTAGCCCGTTAGCCTGTTAATTTTTAACTTCCAAGCAGTACCATGAATCAACTTTACAAAATACTCAAATTCTGTTGCTAAACTAAAATCATAATTTCAACATCCAAATAGAATCATAAATCACAAACAAAACTCATACAATATGCATTTAAGTCACTTTCAAAAGCAAAATGCTCAAACTAATTAACATATATTTCATCAGATCCAACAAACAAATCCATATTGTGTAAATTAAAATAACTACATGAATCCAACAAACACATCATGATGCTTGTAGTAAGTATAACTTCTCCCAAAAACCTTTTAATATATTCGTATACACAATCTAATATGCTGAGATGTTGGTTCTTCTTACATAAAAAAATAAAGTCAGATTTCTATTAAAATATAACTGAATATAATTAACTTGTAAATAATTACAATTGATTAAATTTATATATTTTTTTCAAGGCATACTTATTTTATTTTATTTTTTTAGAATAAATAGTACAATATAAGTCGGCCTGTAAGCTTATAGGTCAGACCTTGTGAAAGTAGCCCTACAACTTTTTTATTAAACAAGCTTTTTCAAGATCCAAATACCTATTTTATGAAATATATTAGGTCAAATCTGACCTGATATAAGCCGAGCCATAGATTCCTGTAGGTCGGCCCAATCCAATTTCATCCCTGCCTCTGGATGGTCATACTTTTCGTGGTTCATACTAGACGCTGGATCTGTTAGGGTGCATGTGTTAGGTTTTTGATATATATTACAATAAGCGGGCCTCGCATGAGAAAGTTGAAAGACAAATATATTAAGTTTAAACATGATCTTTCCTAAGAAGCATGCCATTTTATGCTATGCAGAGTTCAAAAAAAAAAAAAAAAGTTCAAAACAACGACCGGTCTTTCAAGAGTATTTAAAATTCTTTTTCTGGAATACCACAAATTGGTTATTATCTGCCTGTTGCTAATTCTCGTAAGTGGTCTAACGCCACTTCTTATGCGGCAAGAAAAAATAAACCAAGTAATTATCACGCGGTTAAAGCTTTCTTGAACCAGTAAATAATTTTTAATTACTCCATTTTAATAGTTTAAATTAAAAAAGTCCCTGATTAAAGATGAGACAAAGTCACAAAATAGGACCCTCTTGAAAGAGCGTCACATATTGCCAAATTTGGTAAAACATTTTTGCCTCTTTATCTTAAATATAGATCTAGAGCATAATATCCATGAATCATAAATTGCCTATCAATACGTAAATTTTTTAATAATATTATTTCCTTAATTTAATAACTAGAGTTAATACTACCAAGGTTTTATTATTTATCTCACTATCTATATGTTTTATTTCTCTCACTTATGAAGCACCGACACTTTAAAAATCCTAACCTGTCGTGTCCGACACTCTCGGACACTCCCCGACACTTCAACATACGTTATATAAATTCAAGAAAAGGTTCAAAAGTTGCATTGCGTTAAATTTTTAGTTCCAACTATTAGATTCGTTGGATTACGATAATCATTTTATTGAGTTTAATATAAATATTTGAGATGTCTTATGTTTTTTTGCAAAATTTATGAATATTATAAGTTTAGATTATTTTTTTTGTTAAATTATTAAATATTAAATATAATACACACTACATAAATTAAAAATATTATTTAACATGTGTCCTAACGTGACGAAATCTAACATTTTTTAAAATTAACGTGTCGGAGTGTCGTATAGTGTTTCGTGTCTCCGGTGTCGATATCAGTGCTATATAGTCTCTCACTACACTCAAATATCCGCCAGCTTCTCTGCAACTATATAATTGCTTACAAACTTTGATAAAGGAGGGGTCGGGGAGACACATATTTTTTGTGCATGTTGTATGAGTGAGATATACTTAATTTTTGTCTCTTCATCTATTCATTTGGTGATTGTTTCGGAAAAGTAAATGCAATGGGATCGTCATGGGTGGAGGATGATTTCGCCATATCAACCAACAATCGCCGGAGCTCCTTCTCTGCCAGTTTTGAAGAGATGTTGACGGCATCGCCGGACGTGTTCAATGTCACTGGTCGGAACTCACACGAGTATGACGAAAGGGAACTCAAATTGGCCGCCATAGACCGCTTGCCAACTTTTGATCGCATGAGAAAAGAAGTGCTTGATGATGGAAAGATTGTCCATGAACAAAGGCTTGGGTTCCGCGACAACAAGGTGCTAATGGAGAGCATATTAAAGGTTGTTGAAGAAGACAATGAGAAATTCCTACACAGACTCAGAGACAGAGTGGATAGGTGTTTAATATTAATGTTTCTCTCTTTTTCTTTTATTGTTATTTCTATTTTTTTTTTCTGACACAATTTGCATTTGTTACAACACGCAGGGTGGGGATTGAAGTTCCGAAAATTGAAGTCCGTTATGAGAATTTATCAGTGGAGGGAGATGTGTATGTTGGGAGCAGAGCCCTTCCTAACCTGCTTAATGCTACTCTCAACATTCTCGAGGTTTGTTTCTACTCTAAAATCTAAATTATTAATGGTGATTCAAGAACCTTATTTTCTGACAT